GGGGTTTTCCCTGGGAGTGCAGCATGGGCCAGGATGACAAAGGATGCCAAGGCCAGGGCGCGGTGTGCGCGCAAAGAAGCTGGCCAAAAGTTCGATCAAAAGCATCCACGAACATCGGTTGTTGTTGCTGAGAAGAAGCGGAAGGCCAAGCAAAAGAAGAAGAGTAAGACGACTGGTGAGGAAGGCGAGGATGATGTGCGCGAGGAACCCGAAGAAGAAGAAGAAGAAGAAGAACATGCACATAGTCCTATAGATGTAGATTAGGTCGATCTTGTCATGAAGGCGCCCTTGGAAAAATCTATGCGCACAACACAGCCTCAAGGCTTGTTGTATTTGACTCTACTGTAACAGTCAAGAGTAGTAACCTCTTGATTCTTCAATTTGATTACGCTAAGATTTGCAGAGTGTTGAGAAATTACTTTGGAATATGTTTTGAGGGATGTCGAGAGATACTGTTGAGAGCGTAAGGTTTTTGCGATTGTATTTCGGGCTGCTGAGAGAGTTTGACTGTCAGTGCGTTGAGAGATGTTGAGGATGATGGTGAGAGAGTTTTTACTGTGGAGAGAGTTGTGAGAGCGGTTGAGAGAGTTGGAAGTTAGAGTTGTGAGACTCTTTTCTGTTTGTCACGGTTCATATTGTGCTGATTATCGTTTCTTTGGAGCTTGATTGCTTTGTGTGGAGAGATTTCATTGAGTCAGAGTTGAGCGAGTTGAGGGTTCAAGCACCAGTTGAGAGATTGATTGTTGACAGATTCAACCTTGTACATTCAGAGTTTGTTCTTGAGCATGCAGTATTATCTTTCTATTATGATTCCATTTGCTTCACTGCAATTCAGCACCATTCGGGTAGCAGCTGACACCATCATGGAAAGAATACTGCTCCTCCAACAACATCTCAACAACCTCTCGACTACATCTCAACAACATCTCAACGAACCCTCAACAAACTTTCGACAGTGTGTGGTATTTCTACATCTTCTTCGATCTGCCGAAGCTTTGTTTGCCCGCAATGGTGAATCACCAGGTGATGATTCGAGATTTGGATTGGAGCACCAAAGCTTCGAACCTGGTGGAGCGCGTGTCGAATCTCAATGCTGATGCGGCCGACTTGATCCAGGAGGTCAGGGTTACAAGGCAAGGACGCTTCTTTCCTGGAAAAATGTGCACAGCGTTTGTGCATCTTCGAGATGGTGCTTCGGAAGAAGTTGCACAGCAAATTGCAGCGATCTTGGGGGGGTAGGGTTGTTGGGCCTAAGGCTAAGCAACAACCTCCTCCTAAGCAGCAGCCTGCACAGCAGCCTGTGCCCGTTGAGCAACTCCCAGGACTTGGCTTCAAGAGATGCCCTGCCCCTCCGCCGAGACCATCCTCTTCGGCTTCTCGTGGTGCCAGCAGTGCGCCAGTGACACCACCGAAAGGGAGCCAGTCACCACCAAGCCTTTTGCCAAGGCCACCAACAAGGCAGTTGCCAAGGCCACCACCAGGTCCTCCGCCTGGATGGATTCCACCAGCCCCTAAGTATCCATTCCCGCCAACACCGCCAATTCCTATGACAGCACCACCGCCTGCTGCCCCCAAGTTTAGTCTTCCTGCTGCTTGGCGTCCAAAGGTTCGACCCAGCACTACAAGACTGCTAGAAGAACAGCAGCAGCCAAAGAAGGTAGCTGCTCCATCATCTGCTCCGCCACGAGTTGAAGAAGAAGACGGTGGTGAAGCAGCTCCTCGTCGGACAGAAGTGAAGGTCGAGCAGCCAGACAACACGAGTGGGCCTCTTCAGAATGTCACCACTAAGCCCGAGAGTGAGCAGAAGGATGAAGAGTATGAAGATGTTGTGCTTGATGATGAGGCACATGAAGCAGAAGAAGAAGGGCATGAGAAGAAGGAGACAGAGCAGGAAGAGAAGCAAGAGAATGAAGAAGAATACTTTTTGCCTGAGGCAACAAGTGCTTCGTTTGCTCGCATGGCTGTAGATCCTGTTCCCGGTCATCATCAAGTGTATGCTCAGCCCACTCCTCATCGTGATGAAGGCCACGACGACACCCAGCCCATTCCCAGTGCTCATGATGAAGGCCATCATGAAGAAGGTGTGCCCACCAGTCCTGCTGGTGGCCTTGTCGAAGCTGATGATGATGAGGTTGAGCGCTTCCATGAGGCTGATGAGCTGCCGGAGGAAAAGGCGGAATTGGGATTGATGAAAGAAGAGGAAAAGGAAACTGATGAAGGCTTTGAAGGCGGCGAGGCTACACCATGGAAGAGGCGGACGGACAAGCGTGACCGTCACAAGAAGAAGGCAGCAGCGGCAGGAGCGCGTGCCAAGAGTGCTGCTGGTTCTTCTTCGCAGCCGGCTTCAGGTGACGTCAGTGGTAGCCGGAAGCCTTCTTCAGCGGCAGAGCATGATGCTGATGAGGAGAAGGCAAAGGAGCCCACCTGAAATGAGCTGCTGCAAGACATGTCTTTGAGTTCAGAGTTGTTTGAGAGTCTTGTGAGGTTCTGTTGAGAGTCTTTTGAGAGCTTGTTGAGAGGTTGAGAGGCTTGTGTGCTCGGAAGCTGTCGTTTTTTAACTCAAGTATGTACACACTGAGGCCATAGTTTGTTTGCGCTGTTGCAGGATGATGACGATCCAGACAGACCTCCTACACCTTCGGCACCAAGGGGGTCAGGGACAAAGAGGAAGCGATCCTCGAGGTCTCCGTCATCATCCACCAAGAAGAAGAAGCGCAAGAGCAAGACTCGCCGCAAGAAGAAGGAGAAGAAGCAGAAGAAAGACAAGAATGCAAAGAAAGAACGCCGTAAGAAGCATGAGAAGAAGGCTCGCGCTCAAGATAAGAGCAAGAAGCGGAGTCGTGGACGACGCCATCAAGGTGGAAGACGTGGTCATCACGGTCACAAGACGCGGCATCGCCGCCGGCTTCCATCGTCATCTTCTTCGTCCTCGAGTTCCTCGGACTACGGCTACAGCTACAGCGGCTGTGACAGCCATGGATCCTGATAGGAACCTCGAACGTCTCGCGCAAAAATGCAGCGTTTGAATGCGGTGCTTTGGAATGATGACACATTGCTTGCTTGTGGGTTCTTCCTTCAGCTTACTTGTTGAGAGTCTTTTGAGAGTTTGTTGAGAGTCTTCTGAGTCGTTTGAATTGTCTTATACTCTTTGAGATGTACTGTAACAACATCCCAACGACATCTAAACAACAGTCTCAACGCACTCTCAAGATACTCTCAACAACCCAACAACAACAACAACAACAACAACAACAACGACAACAACCAGAATAAGAACAGCAACAACCAGAAGAACAACACCAACAAACTCAACCTCCCAACCTCAACAAGTCTCCCAAAGGATCCAACATCATGAAGAAACTCAGACCTCAACACTCCCAAACATCACCACAGACTTCCTATTAACACTGGACAATATAGTAGGATTGAAGGTGTACTTGAATAAATGAGTATCAGCGTGATGGTTTTCAGAAAGGTTGAGAGAAGTTGAGAGAGTTTGAGCGAATGACCAGCTTGTGTGAAAACATGTGTGACTTGAAATCGTTTGTTGTTGAACTGTGAAGTTGAATTACAAACTTGTGCCCTGCAGCCTGCTGCAAAACAAGATCGTAGATCTGATTCGTAGAACAAGTGTGTTGTAGAACCACTCTCGTAGAAGAGCAGCTACTATGTCGTCGAACAAACAGAATGGCAACGACATCCCTGATGCTGAGATGACCAATCAAGATCTTTGGTCACAGGAAGCTGTTGTTGCTTCGCCTGCAACTCCTCCCAATGACTCGCAGGCTCCTTTGGAGGATGTGAATGACATCAACGTCGAGAACAATGGTGGGCCCTCTGCGCAAGTTTCTGACTCTCAGAATCCTGAAGATGATGAGTCTGAAGAAGAGGGTGAGTTCTATGCCATGACATTGAGGAGTGATGGCACTTTGGTGCGTCATGACAACGGCAACCCTTTCCCCAGCCCGGAGACAATGCTGCTTGCCGAGCGCATCCAGGCCTTGTTGCTTGCTGGCCCTCCAGCCTGCAACTTGAACATCGGTGGACCTCCTTCTTCTTCCTCCCAGCCTGCTGATCCTGCACATCCTGGACCCAAGCGGATGCCCAAGTCGAGAGCATCAAAGAAGAAGGACAAGAAGAAGAAGCAGCAAAGCTGAACCGATCGCAGCTGGCTTGCTGTTTGACAGTTGGGCGTCCAACCCTAACTTTTTTTAAGGGCCGAACCGATCGGAGCCATTCGCGCGTTGATGGAAAACATGTCGAGTGCATGTGAGTTGTTTGAGAGAGTGTTTCACACTTGACTGTTTTCTTTGTGCAGGTCTGCTTGGAGAGTCGTTGAGGGATTTGTGAACTATTGAAGCTGTTGAGAGAGTTGAGAGTTACTGTGGTGTAAATATTTGATTGACATGTTGAATTTCATGTTGAACTTCATTGAAACTTTTGTGAATCTTCAACATTATGGTTTTATGAAAGTAGAAGTTTACTAGAAGTTTCCATGAAACTTCTAGTTTGCAAGTAGAAGTTTAAGTAGAAGTAAAGTAGAAGTTTGACTTGTTGAAAATGACAACCCTTACAGTGAATATGCAATGTTGCTTATGAAACTTCTAGTAAACTTCTAGTAAACTGCTAGTAAACTTCTAGTAAACTTCTAGTTGTGGAAACTAGCAGTTTCATGGAAACTTCTAGTAAACTTCTACTTTTGAACATTCATAAGTTAAGAAAATTTATATGTATTTCTATGATTTCTATACATTGTATATATTGCAATTGTTGAGAGCTCTTACCTGTCTGAATGACGTTGTGCACTTGTCGGTTGAGAGAAAGTGAATTTGCTCCCATATCCGTGAAGCAGTTAGCTGGAAAGTCCAATAGCAGCGCGCATCGACTTTCGGAGTACCGCTCTCACCATGCCGCCTCCCATGAAGCGACCATCATCAAGGAAGGATGAGGCTGAGGATGTCGAGCCGGAGACCAAAAAGAGGCCAGCTGCCAGTGGAAGCATGAACAAGGCGATCAACGAGCTGAAGCATGGCCTCAGATCTTCAAGCTCCAAGAAGGACGAGGACGACAACGAGGAAGAGTCTGTTGGAGAGGAGGAGGACTCTCACCTCCGCGACAAAGGAAAGAGTATAAAATTTAACTCGATGAGGAGGAGTTTGCCGGCCCACATCGTTCACCTCTACGACACCGAGGCCCTTTCGAAGCCAAGTCCTCGCGAGTTCAGGACGCAGGTGATCAACCAGCTGTTCACGAAGTTGAAGAACGGCAGATACTCGTTGAATACGGAGAAACCTATGTTTCAAGAGGCCAAGAAGCTCTACGAGCGCAAATACGGCAAGGATTCCGAGACCGGATTGCCGAAGAGCGTGTTGAAAGGGCTCTACTTTCAGAACTCGGAGAGCGCCTTTCAAGAGGCCATTAGCAGTGGCGATGTGTACGTCATGAACTCCGAGGATGGTGTGGAGTTCTTCGGCTTTCGCAAGATCGAAGCTGGGCGCGAGAGGCGTGTTTTGCTGCAGTGCTGGAGAGTCTTGCTGAGAGAGTCATTCAGAGTTTTGGAAAGAGCAGCTGAGAAAGTTTTGATAGAGTTGTCTTTTCTTGAGAGAGTTATTGAGAGAGTTGTCTTTTTGTTGAGAGCTTTTGAGAGGGTTGCCTTTTTGTTGAGAGAGTGTTTGACAGAGTTGCTTTTTTGTTGGGAGGTGTGGAGACTTGTTGAGAGTCTGTTGAGAGTCTTTTTGTGAAGTCCTGGTGGATGTTTTTTTTTGACGCTGTTGATGTTTTGTTGATTGTTGTTATGGAAGTGGCTGTTGTGGCTGCTGTGGCAGGGGCACTACTCGGGAACAGAGTGTCCTCAAGGAGAAGAAGATCACAGCTGATCAGTCCAACTGCTTGGAGGACTTGTTGGAGCAGCTGAATTGGAGCTTCAATTGGAAGAAGACGGACGCGAAGTCCATGGTCGAAGGGGAGAAGCTTCCTGAGTCAGTTCTGAAGCTGCTCACACAGGCCATCACCAGTGAGACCAAGCTGTCGGGCTGTTTGGTAGCACGATCCTTTTGAACCCAGCGCTACGCGGCGAAGTAAAGATAAGAACAGATACTACACATCTATACATGTCAGTGACCTAACAAAAGTTGACACGCCGCCTCAAAATGAGACGTTCAAGGAACATTTTGTCCTCCTTGCTATTCGGTTGGATCCTGCTTCATGTAAGCAGATTAGGAAAGGCCATCCAACCTTTTGTACACATATCAAAGATATGGTCCGTTCCGGCATGTTCACCATGCTATTTCGACAAAACTTGTTTGTAAATTCACCTTAGTATCAGGTGGTTCAGCTGTGGCACCTGTACTTTTCGTTGTGCACAATACGTGGTTCAGATGTTGCACGCATTGTTCGTGTGTTGTCATCAACCGACAATCACCAACCAGCAACCATGCAAATTGTATTGAATTGCTCAACTGTAGATCTGTAGGTTCAGCTGTTACTACAGTCCACAAAATCAAAATTGAATTCTCTCATCTTCCAAAATTGCTCTGTCCAATGCCAACCTAAGCATCTGTGGAACCGCGAGGTCTTTGTTCTTCACCACTATCTTCCGACTCCGACCAATGGTGTAAATTCATCCACATCTCTGGGTCAGATACCTCGCTCAATGTACTGTGCAAATATCTTGCAACACGAGTATCTTCACTTTCCGAATTGTCCTCGACTTCATCTTCTTCTTCATGATCTTCAAGTGCTTCCATGTCCCGATCTGGTCTTGGAATCGCACTTGCACTTGCACCTGTTGCTACTGCTGTTGCTGTTGTTGTTGCTGGAAACGCACTTGATGAACTGCTTCCGAAATTCCTTCCAGGCAAATTGCTCGAGGTAAAATAACCATCTCTTGCGTCACTCTCTTCTATGATTCTTTCGCTTCTTTCTGCTTCAGGCTCGTCCAGCTCTGGCACTTCTTCTCCACCTTCCGTCTCTTCATCAACTGAAAGATCTGTCATAGACCTGCAAAAGTTGCGAGCTCGTCTTCTCGCTATCTCTCCTGGTCCTCTACCTGGTGGATGTTCAAGAATGCTCAACACCGATTGCAAGATCTCTCGTCGTTTGTGATATTTCTTCCGCTCTTCTTCACTCATGCTTGCTCCTCTTCGATCAATTCTCCTTTGCACTCTTCCCAACATCCAATATGTAAACCACTCCGGTGACCAAGCTGCCCATCTTTCTGGAGGATCAATGGGCATAGGAGGGAATTGCGGTGGCCTCGGGGAAATCTCTGTAGGAACTTCTGAACCAGGATCATCACTTGCTCTAGCATCCCGATCTCTCTCAGGCTCTGGTTCTTCTATATCAACTGGTTGATTTCTCTTTCTTTTCTGGCCACGACGACCGAATCTTCTTGCCAACTCATCCCAGTTGTTGTACACCCAATTGCACAACCAAACCAAAATGAGAATGAGAATCGTCATCACGAATTGTTGTCTGCTCACTTGCTCGCCGCCTGGATGAGATTCCTCTTCAACACAACCTTTCAAGCTCATGGCCTGAACAAACAATGAACATTGTACCAAATGCTTTGTTGCTTTGTTCTTCAACCATCTGTTCACTTGTCGGACCTGATGCTTCCATGACAACTCCGCAAAATAGTTCACCTGTTCTTGTTCACCAATCACTTCAACCACGTTGTTTTGCTCATCCAATCTTGTTGCTCCCAAAAATGACAAAAGGAACTTTCTCCGCAGCGAAGTGAGTTTCTTTGTGTTGAGGTCTGAAACATTTGTTTGTGTTGGAACTGGCTTTCACCAAATGACCACGAATTGCTTCTTGTAGCCAACACAGCCGAACATCGATATGCTTCAGTCGACCCAAGCCTGACCTCTGCAACCACTGCCGACCCGATGATGAATCACTTCTCGCCTCCAAAAGAACTTCCTGCTCCAACATGAACTTCCAAACTTTCTGTAGCAAAATCGCTTCACTGACTCCAGACGTCAATGCTAGCACTTCAGCTTCACACGAGGATAGTGCTACTGCTTTCTGTGTCCTGCTGTAAGACAAAGCCAAAAGACCATTCAACAAAATCATCACTGAGGTCGTAGACTTCCTGTAAAGGCTTCCAGCCCAGTCGCTATCACAGAACACTTCCATGACATGGATGTTGTCGTCTTGTTCCAACTCTGGTGCATTGTTCAACTTGCTAGCCAACCTTGTACCAACAGGAGTGTAAGGTAGTTTGAATGCAAATCCTTGCGTTCCCTTCAAGTACAAAATCAACTGGGTCAAACACCTCTCAGCATGCTCTGTTGGTGTCTTCATTGACGAAGCTAGTGTCTTCACGCAATACTGGATATCACAACGATCATGCGACATGTACATAGCAATGCCAAGTCCACTCCGGAAAACTGCCTGACGCTTCGAATCAAGCTCTGGTGAGGTGTCCGGATGTCCCAACAAACAATGCTCTGGAACTTGTTTTGGTTTCCTGTCCTCCAACTCGTACAACCGAAGCAAACTTTCCACATGCTTTTGATTTGCTTTGACATACACTCCTTCTTCAGCAAACACGTACACCTTTTTCAAATAGTTCAGTTCTTCTCCGTCTCCTAAGGGTCCATGGGGTACTGGCCCTTCGATTTGCAGCTTGTATATCTTCCGAAGTTCTTGCACTAGCCACTCAATATCACTGGCCTGTTCTGCTGCTATCAACTCATCATCCACATGCACGTTCAACACCACACGACGTGTCTGATGTCTCAACACCGAAGGCATAGCAACACATTGGCTAAATCCCAAATTCTTCAAAACTGCCGTGAAATCCTGAAACCATCTCTGGGCACCGTTCCGCTGTCCTGGAAGAACTTTGCACAATTGCCACATTGAACTCTCTGGCAACCGTAGGAGATTCTTGATCCAACTTGAAATCTTCACATAACAAATCTCCTGTTGCTTGACTGTCAGGTATGCATCGGAAATGTCAATGCTTGCAATCTTCCAACCAAAGAACAAATGACAGAAAAGGAAAAACTTCACAACCGAATGTGAAGAGGTAGGAGAAAAGGTCTCCTCTGTCGATGGCCCTGTCTTGAACTCTCTTGCAACAATGCGACACCGCCGCTTCCACTGGCCATCCCGAAACCTCCAATCAAAAACTTCCTTCAAATCAATAAATTTTCCTTCAACTGCCATCTCTGTCTCGTCGATGGTTTTCACGACACCCAAACTGGTGAGCTTCTCGACTTCAGCTTTCATTGCCTCACCATCAATCTGTTGGAGTTCTTCAGGCGTCACATCTGGCGGCCTCTCACCATGAAAATCAATGTCCATGTGTTCCAACTCTTCGTCCACCATTTCCCAATCAATGTCTTGTTCCCAACAAATGTCACCATGCGGATTGTCAATGTTCTCAACACTTCCTGCAAACAATGGTGTATACAATCCTTGCTTTGGGCTTCCTTGTGGACTTTCGACTCTATCATGACGCGCCGCCTTGATCTCGCGGCCTTCTTCCAACTCAGCTCCTTCTCTCTTCTCTGCCGGGACTCCTTCTTGATCAACCTCAATGTCAATGGATCTCGGAGGTGTGCCAGGGATGATAGGAATTCCCAGCAAACTCTTTCGTTGCACCTCCGACAACCGCTCCAAAGGTTCCTCCACCAATGCACTCGGTTCAGCTTGAGGACTTCCAACTTCGGTTGGTGTATAGGATCCCTGATCCCTGACTGCTTCCGCCTCCTCGTCAATGTCTCCAGTCTTCAACAAAATCGGCTCACGGGGATCTTCACCTTCAGCTCGTTCCTCAATCACCGGCAAAGGAGCTTCCAACAACCCAACAGGACCTGAACCTTTTGCTTTTGTCCAAGGTGTCATAGTGATCGACGTTATCACATCAGCTCTCCACGGATTCGAGCATCTTCTGATCGAACGAGTATGAAACTGTCCACCTGGGGTAATCAACACACGCATGTCCGACTCATCTTTCCCAATCCAAATGCCTCCTTGCCAAACACTTGTTCCAGTCTTCTTCATTGGCTTTCTCAATCCAAAAGCAAACTCACCGAAAGGCAACAACTTACCATTGTACTGTCTTCCAAAAACTGTTTCGAACGCTGTTGCTTTGATTGCAGAATGCTCATGGAACCTGTTAAGGAGGAATACTGCGTGTACTAGTGACCAAGCTCTCAAGCAATGTAGATCATGCAAGACTTCATGAATGTGATCTTCAACACTGGTCATCAATGTACTTGCATGTCTTCGAACAGTCTGTATGTACCGTTCAACACGCGCAGTCCTGCCTTTGTGATAAGGCTTGCCAACCTTCTTGGACGTCGGATACCCCATCTCCTGTCTCACCATGACCACCATGTCCAACAACCCCAGAGTCGCAGGCTCTGAGTCCATCACATACACCACCTCACTCAAATAGTTGAGTCCCAATGAGAACCGCACACAAAACTCTGCAAGAGCTCTCCAAACACCCTTACTCCTTGCTGGGAAAATTGCCCCATACCGTGTTGTCGTATCCAAGAGGATCAATGCTGGGCAATTGCGGCCTAAATACATCCAGTCCATCTGAATGTGGGGAACACCTGAATCCTCCTCCGCAGCATCTGTATTTTGAATCGTTTTGTCTTCACGAGATTTGGTTTTCAAGCAAGAATCGCACCACGGAGCAAAAGGTAAATGCGTCACTTCATGACGTTCAATGATCTTCGGATCATCAGGTTTCTCTGTACCTTTTGTCTGGATCTTTGCCTGAGGTCCAAGCATCTGCTGCTGCAAATTGTGCTTGATGCTCTCCATATCCTTCTTGTGTTCCCTGCTGAAATATGAGCACAAACGATCAAACAACTTTGTCTTCGATCCACTCGCATTCACTCCCAAGAAGTTACATGCGTCTTGAAGATCTTTGACTTTACTCTGCTTCGACACCTCCTTTCCGTTGATCCACAAGCTCTCCGGCTGCTCTTCATGTCCACCTGAAAAATTCATCGACGATGCACCTTGCAGCTCAACTGGAATTTCGGGCTCTCTCTGAAACATTTCATGAGCGTTGTCCTTCTTCTCAAACTCGTCGACGATCTCTGGCAGTTGGGACTCCAACACAGGTTCACAAAGACAAGCACTCAACGGTTCAACATGTCTCTGCGGAAAAGTGAGGATCGTGGTAGGAATCAAAATGCCAGGAATGTCTGCTGTCAACTCCGACAAACCATCCAAAGCTCTCGAGTGTTCGACCACCTCCCAAACAGCTCCTACCAGCACGATTGTTGTTCTGAACTTCCAAACTCTTGTGGACAATGCTTCACTGGGATCGACAAAACTTTTGCCATGCTGCTTGTGAACTGGGTTTCCATTGCTCAGAAACTGCCAACCAAGCTTCAACGAATCGATATCAACCTGCACTCTGACATACACTGCACGAACCAATGACTGCTCGGTTTCCTTCTCCTTCACCTTCCTCACATGAGCAAAAACACTGAGGCTATTCTTGCGGAAATAGACTGGGATTCGAACTGCACCATCTGGAGAACCTAAGATGCCAGCACACTGCCCCCGACTGGCCTCTTCGAGAAGGCACCTATCCTCCTCACACACACCTGAAAAGGTCCATCCTCTTCGCAGCAACCGACCGAAGGATAAAAGGATGTTCGTGACATCAGAAACGATGAATGCTTCATTCAAACAACAACCGATGTCCTCGTTCAAGCAATGCTCAAACTCAACTTCGACCTGCCTCATCCCGCCTATATCCAAAGGATTGCCCTGTGCATCTTCCAATTGGACCTGGGGTGACGGGATGTCGTATCCTGCAGCACAACGTCGTGGCAGCAATGAAACATCAGCTCCTGAATCAAGGACTATCCATTCTTTTTCTTCTTCCCACATTTCAACTGTTCGAACCTGCAAAACCTCCGGGTCCTGCTGAGCTTGCTGCACCTGATCAACAACCTGTTCTGACAAGAGCCAAAAGTAGAACGGATCGTCTGCACATGACTCCGCTTCCAAAACCGTGTCTTGACCATCGAAAATGCAAAACTCCTCACATTTATGCTCTACCTCCTGCACAACTCTCACACTTCCACTCATAGTCCAATCTTCATGCGATGACGCTTCTGAAAGGGCGTAACACTCGGGCACTTGAAGGGGTGGCGTACCGACGTGGTACAAATGAACTCTTCTCACTGCTCTCTGCGTAGATGTCGAACCTGTTGCACTGCCAACTGAACTGTATGTCGTGGCACTGCTCGAAGGGATACGAGTTGCTCCACCATCCTGACTTGAAGCTTGACCAGCCTCAGCCCGAACTTCTCTCACTCCTTGTCGTTGTGGACATTCATTGCCCCAATGTCCAAACTCACCACATATCCGGCACCGATCCGGATGAACTTTTCCCTTCTTTCCTTTACCTTTCGACTTGCCTTTCTGCTTTCCTTTCCCCTTCTGCTTGCCCTTTCCCTTTTGACCTTTGCCCTTCTTGCCACCTTTTGACCAAGCATTCGACCAACTCCAAAAGCTTGACCAATCACCTTTACCTTTTCCTCCTTTCTTGCCTTTGCCACCTTTCTCACCTTTCCAGCCTTTTCCTTTGTTCGTCACGGCATCCACCTCCATTGGCCCTGAAGTGTCCTGCGTGCCCTGTCCGGCACGATTCAACGGCTTGATCATGTCTTCGACACTCCACAACCGTGAAGACCTTTCATAGGCCAGAATTCGTTCTCGAACCTCATGGTATGAAGAAGCATCCGAAATCGACAATGTCAAATGCTGTCGAATGTTGTCAGGGCAAAGTCTCAACAAAACTCCCAACAAGATGTCTCTGTCATACTGCTTTGCACTGAGGGCGTCATATTGTTGAACCAATGTCTCCATTCCCATAATATGCTCTTGAAGCGTTCTGTCCTTTGAAGGTTTGTATTGAGGAAATGAAGAAATTGCTTGACTCAATGCCAATGCCCTCTGCCTTGTTGCTGGTGCAAAATGGTCAACAAGCTGTTTCCACAACGCATAACCATTCCGGTCCTCTGATCCTGCTCTGCTCAACTGGAGGGCTGATCCACGAAGGTATGAAGTCAACACTGCATACAACTTTCGTGCTAAATCCCATTCTTGTCCTGTCCAATCCACCGTCTCCACAGCCTCTGCAGGTGACAACTTCTCGATGTCCTGAATTGCCTCCAAGAACCTGCTGTCTGCATAACTCAACCAATTCAAGAAACTGTGTCTCCATGTCACCCAAGCCATGCTATCTGAAGAGGGATCGAACTGTTCAGGCGTCTTCAATATCTTGGATGCTGACTCTAAAGACTTGGCCACGGAAGCCGTGGCAGAACCTGAAGACGCTCCCAACACCTCTGCAACTCCTCTCAACGTTGCTTCCTGACGTGTAATCAACTGTCCCATACCTTGCATGAGTTGCGAAAATTGCTCCTGATCCATGGCATGAACTCCGTAGCTCAAATGTATCAACAAGAGGAATGAAACACCTTTCGTTTGAAGTCCAGTTGTCAACTTTGTCAACCTTTCTTTATGGCTCCAACGTTTCTTCCTTTGAACATCATGCCGTTTCCTCCTGTTTCTCAGGCTCAAGCGCTTCCTCAACTTGTAAACGAACCAAGCCACTGCCAAGGTCAATGTACACCCAATGACTGCTACCATCAACATGTCATGCTTGTCCCGTGACAATGTCAAAACGGTATCAAGAACACGACTCAATTGGGCTCCGACCAACAATGCTTTCGTCCACTCTGCCGAGACAAGCACAAATGAAATCAACTTCAACTCAATGCACAATGCAAAATCGACAATGTACCAACAGGTCAAGTCCAAAAGCTCTTGTACTGTAAACTTCAACTCTGCAATGCTAAATGGAATCAAGACCAGGCACAACCAGTAGATCCCACTAAGGCAGGGATCACTCCAGACCATCACCCGTCGCCCCGGACGCTCGCGCTAAGTGTCACTGATAGCGCTATTGCACCTCCCCCGGGGCTTTGCCCGGGATCTTCAGTGCTCCGCTACCATGTTTGGTAGCACGATCCTTTTGAACCCAGCGCTGCGCGGCGAAGTAAAGATAAGAACAGATACTACACATCTATACATGTCAGTGACCTAACAAAAGTTGACACGGGCGATGCTTTCAAGCTTCTCAAGAAGATTGGCGACGATGGCGGCGCAGACTACAAGGGTTTGAAGCTCCTGTACACCGAGAGCCAGACGCATTTGTCTGACCTGAAGCACATCAAGGACTTCAAGGAGTTTCCTGGCGACAAGGACCCCCCTCTGACCAAGGAAGCCTTCGATTTGCGCATGAAGAAGGCATTGATGTCTATTTTGGATATAAATTTTGGGTGTGGGTCAACAAGTTAACATGTCTATACCTCACCACACGCATTGTTTTCAAGCAAAGTGTTTTGGAACGTTTCATTTTCTGATGACCTGCGCAGGTCGCGGCCCATGCCCAGAAGTTGAACGAGGCCATTGAAAGCACCAAGGGAAAGATGAAGGCTTTGACCAACTAGCTTCCCTCCATCGTAGAAGATCCGGAGAAATTTGGCAGATTAAGTGCGATGTCCGTGATCGCCACTGCCACGGCAAGTCTTGCCAGACTTCTTATGAGACATGAGTCTCGCCTCGCGTTGATGATGGATGAAATAATAGATGACAGCGGTTTTCTGGGCTTGGTGAACTTGCATGGAAGTTCATTGCACGCGCGCATTTGCTGACTGAGAGAGAGAGAGAGAGGAAGACGTAGTGGAGAGATGTTTGAGGGATGTGGAGGGATATAGTTGATATATGCGCGAGAAAGGAGTTGAGGAATGCTTCAACAACATTGCTTGCGATATTCCTGCCGGCAATTGAGTGGCTCTTCTTGGCCAATGTTTTACTACTATTTTGACGGACTACTACCTACTAAAACATGATACTGCAACATGTTGGGTCCAATAAATCTTCAAACGCAGTGCGTGGCAAACCAATTTCACTTTGTTTGTTATCGTGGAATACTATGCAACAGCAAGAATGGCCGCACCTCCAAATGCCAAAAGACAAAGAAAGGGAGGTATACGACAACGATTGGCTGCTAGCGCGGTCTGCGAGCAGGAGGAACAGAGTGCTCTATCAACAAGTATGCCAAGCAAACTCGTGCGCTACATTTTGAAAAAGTTTGCATGGGGTGAATACTCTGCACAGGAAGCCCAAGCCACTGCGCAGGCCAGCTTCAAGGATGTAAGGGCAATCCAAGAAGCCTGCATGGCTGCTCCTCCTACGACTGCAGGCGCATCAGCCTCATCGTCGTCGTGGCTTTTGACACCTCACGCCCACCCCATAGAGCAGGACTTGGAGTCTGTAGCCACCATTGGCGTGTCCGGTCAATACTCAAACAAGTGCTACTCTGACCTAATGAAGAAAGTCGAACCAAACATCAGTTTGCCACAGCCCCATCAGGTTCAGCTGAGGTTTGCTAACCCACTGGGAGAACGCATCCAGGAGATATTGCTTCCGCACGAGATGTTGGCTGCGATATATGAACACAAGGCTACGTGGGACAAGGTTATTCTACCGGACGAAGGCCTTCCACTCAAGTTCTGGCGCGCTCAAAAGAATGGGAAGCACCCACAGTGGTCCGGGCATCCACTCGAACATTTCGCTGACAGAGAGCTGGGGAAAGTAATTCCGCTCTCCCTCCACGGCGACGAAGTCCCCGTCACCGGTATAGGGAAGCACTGGAGCAGAAAAATGGTCAACTTTAGCTGGCACTCCCTCCTTTCCACGACAGCTTCTGTGAGAGATTCACAGTTCTTCATATGGGCATTGTTCGACAAAGCTGGCATCACTGAGGAGGGCGACACGGGGTATCGCACTCTAGACAAATTCTTTGATCTCCTGGCTTGGAGTTTCGAGTTCATGTTCAAGGGGATTCACCCCACTTGCAACGCACAGGGGGAACCGCAACTTGGACGACAAACAATACTTTATGTTTCAACAAGCTGGCGCAAACAACTTTCTCCATACTTCTCAAAAGTTTGATTTTGAACCACCCTCGTTGTTGTGTGTTTCCCTATTGGTTCCTTCACCAAACTCACTGGAAATCTCTCAAATTTGGGTTCCCTCAACATCATTCGACATCTCTCAAAGTTTGGTTCTTCCCTCAACATCATTCGACATCTCTCAAACTTTGGTTCTTCCCTCAACATCACTGGACATCTCTCAAAATAGGGTCCCCTCAACATCGCCCGACATCTCCCAAATTTGGGTTCCCTGTTCCCTCAACATCACTCTACATCTCTCAAATTTGGGTTCCCTCAACATCACTCGACATCTCTCAACATTGCTTTCCCCCAACTCCCTGGACACTATTAGGTGGCCGCCTGGGAGCAAGCAAGCATTTAGATCTGGGCAGCCATTGGCTGCTGGGTACAAAGCTTGCCTTTGGAGCATAATTGGCGATTTAGATTATTTCGTGTCTAGCGCCTTCCAAACTTCAATTCACAGCGACCTTGCTCACTCTGCCGCTGCTCATTGGCAGGAGCGAACAGTTGGAGCAACTTTACTCCATCAGCGCCTTGGAGGGGCCAGCTGTGGACCTATGCTACTTGGAGCGCTTGGGGCGGCAGAAGCAGATGCCCTCTGTTTGGTAGGCTCAGCCACTGCAGCGCGCTCACCGTGCACTTAGACTACATGCACTGTAAGTTCCTGGGAGTTGACCAGTATGTCTTCGGGTCGGTTTTGGCGCTATTGACCTGTGAGGTTATGCCTGGATCACCGCAGCAAAACCTTGATCTTTTGTGGTCTGAAATCAAACACCTCTACCACCAGCACAATACAAAGGTCAGGTACCGGTATTTGAACAAGTTGACGATGTTCCTTCGGCAAAATGGCACGCCCAAGCTCCGCGGCAAGGCCGGCGAAATTCGCCATTTTGCTGATATTATTGTGCATTTGTGGCAAAGACACATGTCTTCAGAGTTGCTTGTACACAAGCAAATTCATCAACTTCTGAAGCTTAGTGCGCGCGTGGAGCAGCTCATCACGGACAACCGTGAGGAAATCGCGTTCCCTGCGCCTGAGGCCAGGAAGTTCGCCAAGGCATGTCAGGAGATGTTGAGCCTCCACGCTGTGTTGGCCAATCACTTTGCCGAAGAAGAGACTGACCTGTTCACCTTGACCAGCAAGTGTCACATGCTGCAGCACATTTCCTTGTTGGCTGGTTGCATCAACCCACGTTTAGTGTGGTGCTGTTCCGGCGAGGACATGCAAAACCGCGTGCAACAACTCGCACAGGCATCTGTCAAGGGCAACAACGCTGCGTCTGCAGTCAACAAGATCGTTCGCCACTACAGATTGGCAATGCAAATTGCTTTCATGGACCACGAAGATGAAATCTAGCTACAGGAAAAGAGTGATTCTTTTGGATTGTTGTGGAGACTTCTTGAGGAGTGTTTGGGATTGCTTTGGAGAGTTGTTGAGGGTTCTTTTGGATTCTTGTGGAGACTTCTCGAGGAGTGTTTTGGATTGTTTTGGAGAGTTGTTGAGGGATTCTTTTGGATTGTTGTGGAGACTTCATGAGGAGTGTTTTGGGTTGTTTTGGAGAGTTGTTGAGGGATTCTTTTGGATTGTTGTGGAAACTTCTTGAGGAGTCTTTTGGAAAGGCTTCGTGAGGAGTCTTTTGGATTGTTTTGGAGACTTCTTGCATGAGGAGTGTTTTGGATTGTTTTGGAGAGTTGTTGAGGGTTCTTGTTGAATTCTTGTTGAGTTTTCTCCGTAATTTCTGTACAGAGTGTTTTGATACTGTTTGGGTACAGGTACCAGTGACGTTTGTTTGTTGGGTGACTTTTGTTTGTGGGTTTGTTCTCGAGGACCCTCATTGATGTGCCATTTATCACGCAGCTTAATCTGCTCGCAAACATCTAGCACACGTTGAGATCTGAAGACACCCAGATTGGGTTTATCTGTATTCTTGCAATGGCTACTACGGAGCATGATCTGAAGAGGCCCAAGAAGACCGATGCGACTTGGCTTTTCAAGAAAAGAAGTCAAAGAAGTAAGAAGTAAGAACAGCCAAAAAAACATAGAAAACCCTATCTGTTGAGGACGACAACAAGGACGACAAGGACAACAATGACGACAACCAGGATGAGACCAAAAAAAGAGGTGAAAAACGCAAGCGTGAAGATTCACCAGTTGTCCGTGAGATTGACTTTGACAGGATTGTCGTCACCAATCTTGCTGGCCGATGCTACCATGAACACACATGCGCGTGTGTGACGCCCCCCAACCCACATATGATGGTGGGTGTCCAACTATGCACCCATTGCAACAAGCATGCCCGAAAAGTGGCATACTTTGCTGAGGTCTTTGACCACATTTGTATCCTCCACTTACTAGACAGGTGCCAAGACCGCGGCCCCTTCACTCGGGAAGTTCGTCCACGCAGCCGGTGCTTGCCATGGGACGGTGCTTGATGACGGTGGCGGCGCGCGCTGCTGAAAAAGTTTGCGCGTTACTCTCATCAACTCTCAACTACTCTCAACAAGTCTTTCAACTACTACTCTCAACAAGTCTTTCACCTACTCTCTCAACCTACTCTCTCAACCACCATCCCGTCACACACTTTGGAATACAAAAATACAGATCATCGTCTTAACCAATGTTCGATTGACAATATCAGTATCATTTCCTACATTCAAAAAACATACAACACCATTTTCAACAAGGATTGTTGAGGTGTGCTTGAGGGATTGAATGTTCGATTGACAATATCAGTATCATTTCCTACATTCAAAAAAAAACAACACCTTTTTCAACAAGGATTGTTGAGGTGTGCTTGAGGGGTTGAGGGATTGTTGAGGGATTGAGGGTTGATGAAAAGGCTCACTGCTGCCATTTCTTGGGAGTTTACTTCTTTCCTTTGCATCGAGTTGCCTTTTTGGTAGATCAAACACAGATAGTAGATCGAAGGAGCTCTTGAGTGAACCACTGCCAGCATCAAAAGTATGTTTGGCCATGATGATACTTTGGAGTGCTTCATGGTTTCCAACGCGAAACTGAGCCATGATGAGATTGAGTGTTCTAAGGAACTTGGTCGCTGGGTTTTGTGTGAGCTGCATTTTGGAAAGTGTGGTATCGCCCCTTCCCACACCTTGTCATGGCAGGCCTTCACACTGGCATGCGCCCGAGCTTCCTTGGCCACCCTGGTTGGAAAACAACCTTCAGAGCTTGCTGGCGACATCACAGTCGACAGCATTGCGCCAAATCATGGGAAAGGGCGCTTTGATATCCTGGACTGGAGGGGCACAACACGCGAAGAGATCTTGGCAAGGGAATTCCGCGTTGCCCACAGCATGCTCACTGCCAACAACCTCATGTGTGAAAACTTCAACTGGCTTCAAGACGTTGTCGAAGACATTGAGATGCTTCACATAGATTTGACAGGTTTTGTCATCCAATAGAAGCACCGATATGATGCGACGCAGCGAGCAAAAAGGAGATACTCATATGCGGAACTCAGCATTCATCACGTGCAACTTGTGTTTGTTAGCTATGACAAATCAAAGCGTCAAACAACAACGCGCCAAACAGAAACAAGTCTTCTTCTACATGACTTTCTTCAAGGCAGCATGTTCTTCAGTTCTTCCTCTTTGGAGTGGTGTTGAGGGAAACTTGTTGAGAGATGATGCGTCGTTTCTCCTTCTTGTTCTCCTTCTTCCCCTATTATTAGACGAATAGAAACTCACAAAAGGGTACCAAGAAAACGCACAAAAACATGACGTGGAAACTAGAAGTTTTGCAGTTTTGCAAGTAGAAGTTTACTCGAAGTTTGCTAGAAGTTTTCGACGTTAAAAATAGACGAATACGTTAAAAAATAGTCGAAAAATTAACGAAATTTCGATAAAAATAGACGAATTTTTTAACGTAAAAATAGAGGAAAAAATTATCGTATTTTGGAAAATACGTTTAAAAAAATATCGAAATTTCGATAACTTTTATCGTAAAATACGTTAAAAGTTAAAGTTAAAAGTTAAACGTCTATTTTTGAAAATAGACGTTCTCAGTCTGTTGGGATGTAGCATGCCTCACTGCCTAACTCCACTTGCTGAATGCCACTGGCATAGAAACTTCCCTGCGGGACTCCTGCTTGTGGTGTGGCCAGCGCAGCACTATCCATCATGGCCCTCACCTGGGGCAGCGATAGTTGTGCAAGTTCAGCACATTCCTCAAAGGCATATTGCCCGATGACAGCTCCCACTGCTAGGTAGCAGGCTCCATCCGTGATGACCCCAACTCGTTCCAGAGCGCAGCACTCTATGAGCGGACGCCAAATTCGACACACCCTGGCATTTCAACCGTCTTCAGGGAGTAGCAGCCCTGGAAGGCTGCATATCCTATGACTACGACTGTGTCCGGCAGCTTGACGATGCGGAGTGAATGACAGTACCTCCATGCTTGTCGACTGACCGTGTGAATCCCTGTGTCAACTCTGACATGTCGAACATGCGGTTGAGAAGAAAGCGTTGGCCTCGAGTATGCCCGAATCGTTAGCAGGTACCCGAATTGCCTTTGGGCAGTCCTCATATTCGAGCCTCTGAAGTTGTTCGTTGCTTTCAACGCTCAAAAAGCACTCGTGTAAAACAAGACAAAACTGGGTGTTCCACCAAAGGTCCTCTTGTACGGGGTCCTGCAGAGCTAAATGCGTGTCAGCATCAAGCAAGGTGAGCTCGCAGCCAAAGGTATCTATATGGCTAACCAAGGGCAGGTGCTCTACAAGGTACTCTTCCAACATTTCCCAGGTGTGATGTATACTTACTGGCACCTGAACTTGGATCACGGTGCCAGCAATAGTGGTAAGGTATAGGCGAAGAGAACTGGGGTCTTCCCAGTCACTACCCTGTGCATGTGATTGGGCCATTTCAGCTCGACCGCTCGAATAGGTAGTGCAGCAGGGCGGTTGCCCCTACCTTATCCAGCTTCGGCAAGTAGCCTCTTGAGCCCGTGGCTGGGTATCGACCTAAATAGTTTTCGTGTCTACTACGAGCAAACCGTGGTTGTAAACACAGTGTCATGGACATCTCGTCTGTACCAGGGGCAACAGCAGTTCCGTAGTAGTGCTTACGCCCCATAGTGAGGACAGCATCTTGGGATACCGCCGTAGGCCCAACTGCATAACGGAGAGCTAGTGGAGAGTATTGCAGCCCGACCCCGACATGCAGATGGGGAGTTCCGGCCTTATGAGTGGCTGAAAGCAGGAGCAAGAGTCCGAATCTCCTGACCTACTTCCGGGGGTGTCTCCACTGGGTTGGTTTGGTCAATTGTGAAGTAGAAATCAATCTCTTCACTTGCTTCTCTATCCGTTCTGAATTTGTTGGTTGCCTTATTGTAGCCCCTACCGATGACTCTGGTGACAAGTTTCTCCCATGTATGCTCGTACAGGGCTTTCTGGAAAGCAGCCGCATAGGGCTTCTTTGCGTCCTCCTGCTCTGTGGATACATATCCATGTAAGAAGTGCACACGAAGCACCGGGAGGGGAGTGATGGTGCAAGTCCTATGCTTTGACAAGAGGTGCCAACTTTTCCGCGAGATGGCCATTGCTAGGCCAGTAAGCAGCCATTTGGCTACTTGCCCATATTTATCGGCCAAACTCCGCTTCGAGAAAGTTTGCGCCGCTCTCTGCAGCAGACTCATCTGGAAAGAGTAACATCCCTGTCCAGTAGCCGGGAGGTAGGCTTCTTCTTCTTCTGTTCCTTCCTCATCTGCCTCCTCAGCTGCTTGGTCTGCACCCTCTGCAGGGTCTGCAGCGGCCTCACTGCTGGAGATCGGGCTTGGCACAGTGTCCGGAAGGACCGGCTTGGCTAACACTGGCATAGCTGCTCCTTGAAGCTCTTGTTCTGGGTGGGTTATCCCGTCTTCCACTTTATGCCAAAGTGGGATTTCGATGCGAAAGCTGGTCTGATAGGAAGAGGCAAAAGAGATTACTTGTCCAAAGCTTGCATCTAGGATGCCTTCTTGGTAGGCTCGTGCCAGGACCGGGGTCTCCGGAAGTGGGGGGTAGTTCCCTGCTGTATTTTTTTTGCACGAGTCGAGGCGCTATGTGTGCAGGTTCTGCACAAGTCACCTTATTCGAGTTAAGAAGGAGTTGCTATCCAGGTTGTAATCCATCAGAGAGACAACGAACAACTAAAACAAAAACCCCACAAAGCAACACACAACACACAAACACCAGAGAGGGAGCAACCTGCTACGCAACTCATTGGGCCATGTCGGCAGGGTGAAGAAGGTGAGACAGGGTGAAACAGGGGCGACGAATTCAGCACGGTGTTCAGTAGTTCTTG